CTGCTGCTGCTGCTGCTGCTGCTGCTGAATCGCAGCAGCAGCAGCAGCAGCAGAGACTGGGGTCGCTGCTGATGCAGGAATCGAAGTGGTGAGGGATTATGGAGTTGTTGGTGCTGCTGCTGCTGTCGATTCGGGTGTTCCGCTGGGTGGTCTGCCGCGCATGCAGACAGAGAAACTGCAGCAACAACTGCAGCAGCAATGCAGTTTGTTCTCTCTCCGTTTAAACAAGAAAACCAAGTATTTAATTCAAAAATAAATTTATTTGTTTCCCAATTCGACCTTGTCGAAGCAACAAAAGATATCGACACGGGGAGGCGGCAGCGAGCGAGCAACGACGGCTGCTGCAGCAGCAGCAGTAGCAGCAGCAGCAGCAGGCTGAAAAGAGGGGGAATAAAGGACTAAATAGACGCAAACAACAAAATAGTGCAGTTAAAAACGTGTTTCACTTTATTTCTCCCCTTTTTAATGTCAAAAACACGAAAATGGCAAATTAAACGGCAGGCGCTGCCGCCCGGCGAGCCGCGGGAGGAACGGGGTGTCTGTACACCTCCTGAGAAAGCATCGGGAAACTGCAGCAAACGGAAATAAACAAAAAGGGACTTTAATGGAATTAATTATTTAAAACAAATTAAAAAGAAAATGCTTTTAAATGGATCAAAGATTCCCCAAATGACCCAGCTTTCTCCGCACTTGCAAGAAATTCAATTATTGAAAAATTTTAATTCAACACCTGCACATCAAGAACCTGCAGCTGCTGCAGCAGCTGCTGCAGCAGCAAACCGGCTGTTAGGAAAGTGCTCCTTTATGTTGAAAGGATTAATTAATTAAATTCTTCATTTGAAACTAAATAACAACTGGGATGCTGCCTCCCGCCCCCTAGCAGCAACAGCAGCGGTAGCAGCAGCAGCAGCAACAGCAGCCGCGGCGGCACCGCAGCAGTAGCAGCGGCAGCGAAAACAATAGTAGCCGCAACAGCAGCAGCAGCAGCAACAGCAACAGCAGCAGCAACAGCAACAGCAGCAGCAACAGCAGCAGCAACGCAGCACCATTGCAAGTTTTTGCATCGCCCTTAAGGAACAAAAATGAAAACTGAATAGAAAGAAAAAGAAACAAGAATCCTAAAAAGAAAAAGAAAATTAAAAAATAAAAAAGCCAATAAAGCAGCAAAAATTAAAAAATAAAAAATAATCAAAAGACAGAAAGAAGGCCTTTGTTACCTCCTAACGCTGCAGCAGCTAGCTAGAGGAGCTGCTTAGCTAGCTGGCTAGCTAGCGCTCCAAACAGCTGACCAGGTTGCTAGCTAGCCAGCTGGCTCTAGATAATTAGCTGGCTAGCTAGCTGGCTAGCTAGCTCTGGCTAGCTGGCTGGCTAGCTAGCTAGCTGGCTAGTTAGCTCTGGCTAGCTGGCTGGCTAGCTAGCTAGCTGGCTAGCCAGCTCTCGCTAGCTAGCTGGCTAGCTAGCTGGCTGGCTAGCTAGCTCTGGCTAGCTGGCTGGCTCTAGCTAGCTAGATGGCTGGCTAGCAGCCTAGCTAGCTCTAGCTAGCTGGCTGGCCAGCTAGCTAACTACCTGCCTAATTAACTGGCTAGCTGCTGCTGCTGGCTAGCTAGCTGGCTAGCTAGTTAGCTGGCTGCTAGCCTGCTAGATAGTATCAACTGGACAGCTAGTCAATAACTCAGCTAGCTAGCTAGCTATCGAGCTAGCTAGCTAGCTAGCTGGCTGGCTGGCTAGCCGTGGCTCTCAACCTAGCTAGCCAGCTAGCTAGCTAGCTAGCTAGCTAGCTAGCTAGCTAGCTAGCTAGCTAGCTGCGGACCGGACAAGTCGAAAAGCAAATGAAGCCACAAAAAGTGCAGCAGAGGTCCCTTTTAAACCTTACAAACAGTTTGGACCGCAGCAGCAGCTGCTGCTGCTGCTGTTTCTGCTGCAGCAGCACTTGCTGCTGCTGCTAAAACGGCACTTGCTACTACAGGTATTTTTGCTACTTACGAACAACAGCTGTTGCTGCTGCCCCAGCTGCAACAGCAGCAGCTGCTGCTGCAGTTGCTGCCGCTGCTGCATTTGCTCCTGCTGCTGCTGCATTTGTTGCTGCTGCTGCTGCGGCACTTGCTGCTGCTGCGTCACCCCATGGCATGGACCTTCTTCTTCAGCAGAGGAGACAGCTCAAAGTTGGGGACAGAGGCCTTGCAGTCCACGACGAGAGACCCCAGCTGCTGCTGTTGCTGCTGTTGCTGCTGCTGCTGCTTTGTCCGCTGCTTGAAGACCGCCTTTTGCTGCTCCAGAAAAGAGAGACATTCAGCAGCAGAAGAAAAGCACAGCAGCCGCTGCAGAGAGGAGACAGTGACCGTCAGCGAGACTCTGCAGCAGCACACACACAAAACGCTGCTGCTGCCGTTGCTGCTGCTGCAGTTGCTGCTGCCGCCGTTTCTGCAGCAGCAGCAGCTGTTGCTATTGAAGGTTTTCTCCTCGCGTTCCTTTGCAAGTGTCTCTATAAGTTGGAGCAGCAAATTAGGGGCTAACTTAAGCATTCCATCTTAGCAGCTAGCTAGCCAGCTCGCTAGCCAGCTAGCTAGCTAGCTAGCTAGCGACCCGGGCAGCTAGCTAGCTGACCGGGAAACTGAGCAGCTAGCCAGCCGGCCAGAGAGAGTTAGCTAGCTAGCTACGTAGCTAGCTAGCTAGCCAGCTAGGTAGTTAATCACGTGGGCAGCTAGCTAAGTATGTAGCTAGCTAGCTAGCTAGCTGGCTAGCTAGCTACATAGCTAGGTGCATGATTAGCTAGCTAGCTCGCTCGTAGTCAGCCAGTCTGCTAGCTACGTGGTCGGCTAGCCAGCCAACTAGCTAGCTAAACACCCCGCTGGCCAGCTAGCCAACCGGCTAGCTAGCTAGCTAGCTGGCTAGCTAGCTGGCTAGCTAGCTAGCCAGCTGGGTTTGTCGGACCTTGAAATGCAGAGCAAGGCCTGCATTTGGACCTTTTTGAAGAAGAGCTGGCAAAGAAAAGGAACAAAAAAAGGAGCGAATTTGAACAAACGAAAAAAGAGACAAAAGTCCTGCTGCAGCAAAGAGACACACAGGCGCCGGCACTGCTGCACCTCCCGCTGCTGCCGCTCTGCTGCAGTCAACTCCCCTGCATGCGCAGCAGCAGCAGCAGCAGCAGCAGCAACACAAACCACTTTGCTAATAACAATAATAATAATTATATTAATAACAATAACAATAATAATAATAATAATAATTGGTGGTAAATAATAAAGAATAAGCTTGGGAAGGAAATTTTCTTTGAAGTGCTTTTTTTGGTTTGGGAGAAGCGCCGGGTGAAAATGGCGAAAACTAAATTAAAAGAAATAAATAAATAAGTAATAATTAAAGTTATTAATAACTAAAATAAATAATATTTAAAATAAAAATAATTAAATAATTATGGATTCTTGTAAAGGCCGAACTGCCGAATAATCCCACAACACTTTCGTTGTAGTAACAACAACAGCAGCAGCAGCAGCAGCAGCAGCAGCAGCAAAGGCACTATCAGCAGCAGCAGCAGCAGCAAAGGCACTATCAGCAGCACCAGCAGCAAAGGTATTAGCAGCAGCAGCAGCAGCAGTAATACTTGCAGCAGCAGCAGCAGCAGCAGCAAGGAGTCCAAAAAAGAGCCGCTGCGCGCAGCACTGCGAAGTGATGGACCAAAGGACACAAACAAAACAACAAAATAAATAAATTAACTAACTAAATTAATTAAAATAAATAAATAAATAAATAAAATAATGAAATAATTAATTTAAACAAATGGCAGAACTCACGATACAGTTTGAGAAGGTCCAGGCGCATTCCCTGCAGCGCCAAATAGACCAGTCGGTAGCAAAGGAATTCTATCTGCAGCAAATCAATAAATAAATAAATAAGTAAGTAAATAAATAAATAAGTAAGTAAATAAATAAATAAAATTAAAAAATCCTAAATGAAAAAAGAATAATTGGAAGAAGGGGGATCCAGCAGCAGCAGCAGCGCAGCAGCAGCAGCAGCAGCAGCAGCAGCAGCGCAGCAGCAGCAGCAGCAGCAGCAGCAGCAGCAGCAGCAGCAGCGCAGCAGCAGCAGCAGCAGCAGCACCCTCTGGGGGTCGAGGGCGTGGAGACGAAGCGCGGCGAAGAGGTGCAGCAGCCGCGTCTGGCACTGGTTGAACTGCCCCAAGTCTCCAAACTGCAGCGCGAGTCTGGCGTTGTGCTGATAGGCGCAGCAGCAAAAGGGACTGGTGATGTGCTGCACC